AAAGGACCGGATTGGAGGTGAGCAGGGGTCTGATCATCAAAGCAACCTACCGGGTGGTCTGATTCCAACTAATCAACCCATCAACCAACAACAAATCGAGGAGTCGAGTAACCGGTCAATCTGACCAACAATCAACCTACCGAGGATTTGAACCAAAAAACAATCAACTGAGGAGTCTGGCGACCAACCAACCAACAATCAACCAGCCAATCATCCACCAAACAAATCAACTCAAACTAAACCAGGTAATCCAATCCCATTCCACGTTCAATCCAAGTTTCACAACAATGAATGAGCAAAATGAGAAGTAAATATTTCTAGTGAAAGCCTGAGCGATATTTATGGAAAGAAGGCCTGAGAATTAAGCTGAATAATATAATAAAATTAGCCCCTAATTATATATGATACACGGCTTTATATGTTGAAAGCTAAATCTTTTGAAAAGATAAACTGCACTGAACATTTGTAACAAATTTATATTGGTGATGCTTAAAGTTCCAGCTTGATGATATTTTTTTTTTTTCATATCTGAGAATTACCTCCAAGTTCGTTTATTTATACACTTAGGCATTTCTCTAGCCTGATCGTTGTAATTTGCGATTAACGTTTGATTGGAACAAAATTTTTAGCAGTATCTATTCAATAATTTCTCCTAAATAGTATTCTTTTAACTCATATCGAATTATGAGAATTAAGAATATTAAAATAGAATGATCTTCAGCAAAATTATGAGAATTCAATTCTAATATTTAGGACAATATTCTAATATTTAATTTAAGAAGTTTCAATAAAAGAAAAGAAAAGTAGATCAAAATTTCAAATTAAGGTTATCCGGAAATGCTATCCAACAGCACATTCTGAAAAAAAAAATCCGAAAACGATACTTGAATATCATAATGGAAAATAACTGCTTTGAATTCCAAATTATTAATGCTAGAGGAAGTAATTATTATTTGTACGATTGATTGATCGCTTTTTTTTTCACATTGATTAGATAAAAAGATTTTTAATCACTTCAATATTTTTTTTCTTGGAAAATATCGTTGTTGAACACAAAAACGTTCGTCCTTGTGATGAATGAGCATTTAAATGTAAATGTAGAAAAGAAGTGATGAAAAATGATTAAATTTTCCATTTGAAAATATCACAGTACAAAAGAAGCCATGGTGAAAAATGTCACATAATACTTTCATTACCGTTTTGTTTGCCATTGAATAAAGACAATAAAATATAAAAGTGATAAATCACTAAACAAATTAAAATGTGTCAAATACACACATTGTTATCACATCAAAGATATCACAATGGTTTGCCTCAAGAAAACTCATACAATAAAAATGGTACTTTAAAGCTTAAATTTAAACTATGATAAAAATGAAAATAAACGATTCTACAAAGGGACTGCGGATGTTGCAGAGGTCAATACATCAACTGTCCTCATAGCTGGTGTCGCAGCTATATCACTCATTGTTGAATTTGCTAACGATGGCTGCTGAGGTGAATTCTTTGGTAATGAACCCTCGGTATTGTTAGAATTGATGCGGTGACCTGTAAAGTGTAAGTTACTCGATTTTGAAATGAAAAATTTGAAAGTTAACATCAATTTGAAATTAATTCGCTGAGCAATTAAATAAGAAAGACATGTTTAATATATGATTGATTAACACCTGAAAAGAATTAAATTCCATATGATTGTGTGAATATTAACGCCAGCATCACTTTCCTTCTCCTTCCTTTTCCAATTATCTCTCTGATTTATTGTTTAAAATGAATGAAATTATAAGTGAAGTTTTTCTAGTTTTTGGCTTTAACTACAATAAAAAGCTGCGACAACAATTCAAAAAAAATAGCTGGAATTTTTTTTCTTTTTAATTTCAGCTATAACTTTTAAATATTATTCCTATGGCTTACATCAACGATATTTGAGTGTTATCATGGAAATTATATTTTCAAGTTCATAAAGTCAAAAATTTTAAGCAAATAAAAGAAAAAAAAACTGTAGAAAAGTTATTACCGGAATTTGTTGCCTCGAAAACATTTTCTGCTGTTGTCTTCTTACATTTTGTACGAGTTAAATTTCTTTCTTTTACTTTATATTCTAAAGTTGAGTGAGGTACCCCGTAGAAGCTACCGGCACGATGTACCGACATTTCACCGCGACGCACTGATCGGACCGCTTCATCCAGTGCATCCTTCTTATACTTTCTGCAATGTATCAAACAATTTAAGTAACTCTTCAAAGAGGAATATAGGAAGTATTTTTGAAACGATCCAGATAAAAATTCGTCGATTAACGTTGAAATATAAACAAAATGCCTGTATTGGCCTCGTTTCGGACGTGACTTTTTCCAATCAGGTTGACTTTCTGTATTATTTGTTGGGCTTCTACCAATTTTCTTTTCTTCCGTATGAACATTCTTTGGTTCCGATATTTGTCGATGTGCAAATGGTGACCAAAGCGACTTTTTGTTTTCCATCATTGCCTCATCTTTTGCTACAATTTTAAGATAATAATAATAACAGTTTATATATTTGATAAATTTACAAATAATCAAAATTAAGATTAGTAGTACCGTTGACTGGCTCCTGATTTACAAAATGCGACTTATTATTTGGACCAATATCCTGAATAATTTCCGGTACCGACACACCATCAATTGTTATAAGCGCTTGCGTAGGAGGTATAATAATCCTGCAACAGTATGTAAACTTCACAATAGATTTGCCTTTTTTTTTTTCTAATTTCATCGATAAAATTTGTAATTTCTTTTATTTATCTTCATTTTGAGTCAGTTAATTAAAAATAAAAAAAAAATTTCCCAAAATATAAGTTTGACTTACTTTGTAGAACGAACATTATTCGGAAAAGGCACCGTGGTAGCTGATGGAGATTGAGCTCTGTTCGGTGTTATTGCTGTATCAAAATTATTTATGCTCTTCTTTCTTCCACCACTACCATTTGTACGTTGGTCCTCAACTGCATCAAGTTTGTAAATTTTATTACGTAATGTCGATCTGCAATTCATATATATTAAAATATGAAAATTATAAAATTAATTATACAAAAAT